CATACTACTCGCATGCCTCCCCATAGCATGCATCACGTTACACCATGAGTAGTATGCACTCTCTATAGTATTTGTTGTTTAGTGGAAGCGCGAAAGGGTTCACGGACTGTATCGCAAAGACTCGCATGCCTCCCCATCAGTAGCATCACGTTACACCATGAGTAGTATGCACTCTCTATAGTATTTGTTGTTTAGTGGAAGCGCGAAAGGGTTCACGGACTGGCTGTATCGCAAAGAAGCCGAATCCAAAGGGCGATCAGAAGAGTCTTAACGAAAACTGGAAGAAGCTAGCTACAGCAATCATCATAAATGGCAGTGTGCGAATGTCAACAAGCGAGTCGCTTATGTTAATCTCACTAGTACCGATCTGTTCCACGCCGTCCATCGCTTGGAGTGAACAAAAAACCCAACCAGAGCCATTTTCGGCAAGCAAATCTATTGGCTAGATGTATTACGGCCACCTAGAAGCCTAAACAAGCTTTGCTTTCAAGAGTAGCACCAAGGTGTGGTCCCCAAAGATATGGGGACTAGTCACACGGCACAGCTCACACAAGCATTCTTGAAAGGTACTCATGTAGAGTTGACAGTACCCGACTGAACGTTCGGTCTACTACAGCAGCCACCAGGGAGGAAACGTTCTACCACACCAGAGCATCAGGGTCCATGTAGATAATGATGATGACATGGTCAGAATTCGAAACGGACTCACCATACTGTTCTGTTTCACATAGTCGGCAATTCCATGATAAGCACAAAGCGGATAATGGAACCATTGCACTGCGACTGGTGGACCGTCTGAGCCGAATGTGAGTGCTTCCTCAATCGACACAGTAGCGGGCCTTCAACAACCATGGAGGGGATGGGAGATAAAAAGACACAATGTTCCGCACACTGGAACTTCTTACGGCAAGATGGAAAGGTATTTGTACACAAGGGAGGTCGTGTATGCGTAAGCACCAAAAACAACGTCAGACAAAGAACCCTCACCGCTCCCTTGCCCGCCAACGCTTCGATCAACCCGGTGACCTAAGCATCGCAACCACGGTGATAAAGGCCCTTAAAAAAGCCGTCAAATGTATCAACGTTCAGTTCACCAGTCAGAATAAGCAGTCATCTTTTGTGTTTTTACACAATGCAGTCGAGGTTTTCGCCTACAATTCCCAGCCGTTATTTGTCTTGAGTTCAGCACATGATATTTGGGTGGACAGCGCTACTCGACTGTCGTACTGGATGAAGCAGGTTCCCCGGAAAGGATCCCTCTGAATACAGATGGCTGTCCAAAAGAGTCCAGGGTAAACACCCTCCACGAGGTTGCCACGAAATTTCCCATATCTTCAAAGCCCACTCCATCTCCAAGAACTTTCAATACATGGTTCCCCAATGAGTGATCCATTTCCCAAATCTGGGTAATGGATTCGGTGATCGATGAGTTGATACAGCATAAAACACGATTTAATGGCTGCATGCCACTGTCGGACGACGTAGGTTCGGGACGCAGGCTTCTAAAGACACAACAGCCTGGTTGAAATTGTTGGCTAATTGAGGAAGGTCGTAGACAAAAAAGTCGTTCAGCTGTAGCACCCTTTCGGTGCCTAGCTGCCGTGCCACATGAAGGATGCACGAGGGCTGAGATACTGCCAGGCTGCCCAAGCCTTGACAGGGGAAGTCGAGAGGTAGAGGTCGGGTTCGAACCACGGGACTTCCGGTCAGTAAATTCGGGCTCTAATCACTTGGTCCAACTCGCCCCTGGTCATAGCCAGCTACCATCTCTCATTTTCAATGGTACTCACTTCGCTCCTCGGCAAAAAGGCATTCCTACTCACTCTCATTGTTTGTTGAAGATTAGTCATGCACCCCTTTCGGGCCTTAACTGACAACACCTTGAATAGCCTTGAGATATTGTTCTCCTAAGGGCGTTGCAAAATACTACACTGACCGTGTGGACCTCGAACTGTATACAGCTAAGACGGAAGCTAATTCTCAAGCACCGATTATTTTCAGGCTTATTATGGGGCAACCGTCAATAGCAGTAATTAATTTTGGATCACGATATCATTCATATTGGGGATTTGGGTGCATTTGCTCTGGGACTCAAAATCATAACAAGCAGGCGACCACAAAAATTTTTTGCCAGACGCTATTCAGCCAACCGAATGGTTCAAGTTGCTTGCATTGAAGCACAAACATCATAATCACATGATCAAGGCTCGAACTATTTCGTATGCGTTGCACTGACAACCAAACGGTCGAAATCCCATGTATGGAAAAAGTGGTTCGGTGGCCCGCGTCATTTGTAAGACGAATTCAAGGCAAATACATATGGCAAGCTGTTAGCAGCTGACAAAAATCGTTCAGCTCTAGCACCCTTTCGGTGCTTAACTGCCATGCCACCCGAACGTTGCACGAGGGCTGGGATACTGCCAGGTTGCCCAAGCCTAGACAGGGGAAGTCGATAGGTAGAAGTCGAGTTCAAACCACGGGACTTCCAGTCAGTAAATTTGCGCTCTAACCACTTTGGCTATCTCGCCCCCTGTTAGCAGCAAATAATCAGTTCGGTCTGCAGTAGTAGTAGTTGTGGGAATACCCCATAAAAAAGCGCACCATTTTCGGATAAATACACAGCATATAATAAATACAATACAATACGCATGGAATAGAGGTAAGTTACCAATAGAAAGACAAAAGCAACCCATCAACCAAATCACGGGTTTCAAGTAGCGGACCACATGGGGCTTTCATAGATTTGAATAAAGATAGTTCGTCGGACGAAAAACACGGCTTTCCATCACTTACCTCAACTTTTACAAGCACTGAATTCATCCTTCGGCCTTAAGGATAAGAATTGGTGACGAAACCGCATCAGTGTAAGAAACGGTGCATTCTAGTTGTTCCTGCTCAACAACTCAGCACGAACGTGCACCAAACGATCACTTTCGGTCGGGAACCACTTTTGTGATTTGGTTCAGTAGGCTATGATGCCGGTCCCAAAAAATGACAGGAGATAAAAAATGCTCTCAAAACCATTTCACTTCGTTGCGAACCACCACAGAAAAAAGGTTGACCTATCCCTTGCTTGGGCTACATTAGTCACGAGTCTGGCCTTACCTTCTGAGTAGTTCGTAGTCGGTTCAAATAGAGCTAGTCCCTGGCTGAATAAACGACAACATTTATTCAAAATGTTGTTCTCACTTTTCTAACTACTTCAACTGATGTGAAGAATGATTCTAGACAAAAATTCAACCTACTGCTGGTCCCTTTTCGACCCTGTTACAAAAATCCCGGAGAGTGATCTGCTTCGTTCATCCTCAATGTGCTCCAGATCACCATTGTATCACATTTCGTTTTTAAATCGTGGTGATATAATAAGCGTTCAGCTGTAACACCCTTCCGGTGCCTAGCTGCCATGCCACCCGAAGGAAGCACGAGGGCTGGGATACTGCCAGGTTGCCCAAGCCTAGACAGGAGAAGTCGAGAGGCAGAGGTCGGGTTCGAACCACGGACCTTCCGGTCAGTAATTTCGCGCTCTGACCACTAGAGCCATCTCGCCCCCATGATGACATACAAAAATACTCAGGTAATTTTGCCTATTCTAACATTACACGAGTGTTATAACTGAGCTCTGTGTTTGCCTATTTGAGCAAAACCACGTGTGTTGTGCTGTTGTGCCTGTCGGACGGGATAAATACCAGTACGAATGACCAAGAACGAACACCATTGGTACTCATGGTGAAACGAAATCTTTTCGGGGGAGGCGTCTTGAAGAACCCACACAACGGACTGAAGATAGCCGTTTTAGGACGGAACAACCGATGGATTGTAGTTTTGGGACTTCTCCGCTTGAAAAGTTATCCGTGTTTGTGTCTGGAAGGTCTTCTTTATAGCCACTGAAAGCAAACAACTTAGATCCCCTGTGGCTCCATTGAAACAGTCGCGATATTGGTGTACAAAAACAGTCCACAGCGGAGCGGAACCACGGCAGAGGACGAAAGATATTGCAAGAAAAAAGTAGAATAACGTCACATCTGTATAGTGCCAGGTGATGCCGACTGAGAAAAGAAAGTCGGTGGAATAAACTTCATCCAATCGTGAACATTAAGTGTGACTCAATGTGGTGCCATTTCCTCCATGGTTGCCTGATATTTTGCATATTCTGTCCTTGGATAATGCACTGTACACGAGTACATATCGGTGGCATTCAAGATGAGTAAATCGAGTCAAAGTTTCCAAGACCACAACTCGGACATGACGAATGGTGTTCAACAACTAGACTGTAAGGAAATGAATGTGATCAGGAGAACAAGGAGCCTCGTGCAAACAGTGTGTCGAACAAATATAGGGTCACCCGGGTATTACTGTTAACTAACATACATTCTTACCTGATCGATCCCGACTTTTGTCAACTTACGCCATTGGACCGGCGACCTAACGCTCCAACCTAATTCACACGCAAGATTGCGAGGCGGAATAAATAATGAATAGCACCAAATGAAAAAATTTCAAGCAGCGGAGTCCTTTCTATAGTGGCTTTCGGCCCCCCGTGACCGTATTTAATGCCCCTTGTGAGGGCTGGCAAGGTCGCCCTGGCTGATGAACTCACGGAAAACTGAGGAACTATCCCTAAGTCGAAACATCTGAATAGGCCCGCAAAATGTCCGCTAGCCAATTCGGTCCAAACATACTCAACATAGTCTCTTAGCTGGTTTTCGCCGGTAGGGTCACGTATTGTAGCGAACCGAACCGGCTGGTGGTTCGCAAAGATTATCAATACGGTTTGAATTCTAAATTCCTTAGTTGCCACTGCATTAGGCAAATCCGGCAATTTGAACACCACGATTTCCTCCGCTTGGCTTTCGGTAAACCACGTGGGTCATATTTGGGATACCGGTCCACAAATGGAACGATGTGGCACTGTCTCTTCTCAGTTGAGAATGGTACGGATAACAAGTGATGTACCACGATAGTAAACTCCAATAAAAAGACGCACATGTGGAAGCACGTACTCGTAATTTGCATCAGAACTGCTCAGAATGACTGATTTGGTTGGCCAGGTTGCCACTGCCAAATGAATTGCCTGTTCCAAAGCCATTGGGAGAACAGCATACCCGTTATAATCGATATGTTCACCTGGGAGAGAAAGAAAATCATATAAGCGGTTGAACTAGCGTACACATTGCATCGCATCCGAAAGCGATGGTCCTTCTAATTTACGAAAGGCCTGAAAAGGAAGGTGAGTGTAAGTCATTTTGAGACCTGAGCATGCACCAGATGGTTATTTTCCAGGTAGCCGGGATAGCCAAGCTAGTTATCGCATTGTTGTACATTGACCTGTCACCTCTTGAAAACAGCGTTATTTTCCATCCCAAATCCTAGATGAGACGCAAACCCAGAGGTCGGTAGAATGAGAGTGGACAGAAGAAAATCAAAGGGGTTACCAAAAATCGGGATAGCGTCAGTATGGTCCGATTAATAGGAAAGAAACTCCGTAGTCATGAGGGATAACCAATGTCAAAGACGCTTTCTATATCACTTCCTATTCGGCTTGTCCAATCGAACATTTGGGGGTGTAAATTGTAATCTAACGCCCGATCCCTTCCCTGTTCACTCATTTTCCCGTTCAACTTTCGCCAGCTTTTCTAAAATAACATTTATCTGTAATGCACTACTCACAAAGTTGCTGAAAATTCGTCGACTGAAATATGAGGCCGTCTGGCACAGCATATCCAGTTGCCTGGAAAAATCACAACAGAGAGATTCAGGTTCTCGCAAAACCAAATTAGTTTGCAAATGAGTGTACCTCGCTAATTTCTGTAACTCGGTGTCAAGTAGAACATAAGGTTGACGGAAACTCGGGGACTGCACCTACCTGATGAGCCCCAAAAAGGGTGGAACCGGTCGTAGGCTGTCGACGAATTTCTAGCAACCATATGAGTAGTTCATTACAAATATACATGTATCGCGATATCTCGAATATCGTAGCGAGTGAAACATGCGGTGGCCTGGTGCAGCACATTCAGTTGCCTGGAAACATCACAAACGAGAAATTCAGCTGGGTTCCATGTGAGTCTCTCGTAAAACCAAATTAGTTTGCAAATGAGTGTATTTCGCTAACATTTATGTGGTTGTACGGCGATGAAACATCAGTGGCAAAGATGCTGTTGGTGTCAATGCTGACGGCCGTAGTTAACAAATAAGGTAATCCCTTACCCTAAGACAGACGATTAACTTAAAAGATGAATTTGATTTGTCGCAGCGCATACATCTGATATACTATGTCTGATGAGAAACGCTGTTGTGGATAGTCCAAGCGAACGACCTTTCTTTAGGGATGGCTCCCTCTACATTAGGAAGTACAATGGTCCTACGATGTGTACACGAAATCGGTGTATCATTAGGTTATTTCATCTGTCATGCACATCTCTGCTCCCGTGATATGATATGATACGACAAACGACCGTACAGTTTATCATCAAACAAGCAAACGGACGAACCACGATTCGGGTGTAGTCATGTTGGTCAAGGAACGAGCTGAAGTAAAAGGGTAGGGGGAAAAGGGTAATACCGGTCCTCTCAAGTCACCGTTCCCGAATTATCCACTTTGGTGTTCGCGGACAATGAATGCCCGCTTAAATGTCCGCCACGCAAAACCAGAGCAATCTGTCCTGCAAATCCGAAAATCACTGTGCACCTGCCTCAACCTTGTTCGGTGAACCGGTTCTCTGCAACGATCGAAACAGAGTAGTCGTGTGCCACACAAGAACAATATAACCAAAATTATTGCACCGCTCTGGCCAACACTGGTTCGAAACAATCACCGTATGCCGATCCTTCTGGAATAGACTGATGCCCCCCAAAGAGGATGTTCCGTGGAGTGTACTTCCTTGGAGAACGCGAAACGGTTAGATCCAAAATTTATTTGCATTACGGGAGATTTTGCTTCTCAAGATAGGCGCTCCAAGAGAATGCTAGTCACTGGTTGAAAAGCATCATTTACGCCAGCTCGTACGCATAATTAGATATTAGGTTGATCGGACAGGGTGCCTGTAACGAGTATCCCTTCGAAAACCTTAATTCTGACATCAATAATACCATTAATCCAGTTAAATAAATACGAAGTCGCGATTTAGAGGAAGGCTTCGAAAGTCCAACTGGTGGTGACGTGAACCATCCGGCTCACTGGACCGAAATTGTGGGACGCCAAAACGTGCACAGAATTACATCAAAAGATTATCAAGGCTCTTTTGTTAAATAAAATATCGCACTCCACTTACATGTTCCATGGTCAAAAGCTTGAACTGAGCCGAGTCAGACGTACCTCACTGGTCAAATAACCTCAGGATGCCATCCCGGCCAGCGCCACATACATTCGCTTCAGAAGCTAGTATCTATGTCCGGATTTAGAGTGCGTTGTCAGTACAACCCTATCGCAAGAAATATATCTCAAAAAATATTCACCTTGAAGCATATGAAGGCTTTAACATCCCCTCGATGACGGGAGTTGTGTACAGATCAACGAGGAACTGGACCATTATGTAAGAGTGCAAACTCACACACTAAAGGCATTCCGCATTTCCTGCTTGCCCGGTCCCTAAATGTCTCACCCTATTTGACAGGGTATCGTCAAATCCATTGGCTGATTGTTATTCTGTTATTCGTTCTATACGGTAACAGCGTCCAGCTATGTTTTTGGCAAATTAGCGGAACACATCTCGTAGATCAGCTGATGTCTAACTCAGCTGTACGTTTCAGGGCATGTGCCTCCTAGGATAAAGTGCGCGCTTTTAGGGGATAACACTCTAACTGTGTTGACTATAACGGTGCGCCAATCTACGGCTCTATATTCTTCTTCTCTGGAGAATTTGTATACAGTGCTTCACCGAATAATGATACAAACTAAGTCTGGGCATCTAGCAGCACCGCTTACAGACAGAACCAAATAAGTGCTCGAATTAAATTTTGCCTTGTCTAGATCTCACCATATCTGGACAACTTCCATGAGCATCACTCGTTTTCTCAAACCTCCGTAGCTATGAACTTACTCACTGCATTCAAATCTTATGACGTAATTTGGCAACAGATGCATCGTTTTTCACGTGCCAAAAGTCGACAATACGATGGCTCGTTTGTTGCGTATGATACATCCGTTGTTGTCATAACGTGCTGAAACGTTCCAGTTTAACTGAAGTGAATGATAGAGACATTCAATAAATTACCAGAAATTTGGCTGGGACAAATAGGCGTGCACCGGGATGATGAGCCAATCTAATGGCACTCATGTCACGGGGATCGCTCGGATGGAACGATCGATTATGTTATCAGTCCATACTTCGAAAGGGATATTAAAACATGTGACTTAGTTAGTATTGGGAATTCAACAACAGCTCGAGTTTTCACACGTTTTCCAACCATATATCTTAACTTTATTGTCTTCAATGAGCACTGAAACTGTGTGAAACGAAAAAAAACTTGCCACCAAAGTAAATTACCGATCAGACCAAGCCAAGTGAAGGTCGCGTAAAGCAAGAGCGCCGCGCTCTCTCTTTCACCTACCGATGACTCCTCAGGCTTTTGTGAGAACGCAAGAGGTGCGCAGTGTATGAACCTTCAAACAAGAGTCACCAAAACAGAATTTTCGGTTTATCTCACATCGGAGAAAGTAGGTGTGCACCCCCTAGAGGAGTATTCCCCTTTGGGGATCGCTGTGGACAGTTAATTATATACCGTGCGGAAGTAAAATAAGTAAAAACAGAGTGGTCCCGTAGATTATATCGCGGATTCGCATTCGATCCCCGGATAGACACAATCGATACGGTAGTTAATCGCCAGCTTAGGCCCCTGGATACCTGGTCCTCCTTAAATGCAGTAGTAGTAGGTTAATAACAGTCATTCAGCTGTAAGGCTCTTTCGATGCCTAGCTGTCATGTCACCAGAAGGAAGCCCGAGGACTGAGGCCCTCCAAGGTTGCCCAAGCCTAGACAGGAGAAGTCGATATGCGGAGGTTGGGTTCGAACCACGGACCTTCAGGTCAGCAATTTCGCCGAACTTAACCACTGAGTTGTCCCAGGCTCCCTTAAATACAGGCATGAAAAATACATCAAGTGAACACTCCTGAGCGTCTTTGGAAGCCACAAGTGTGCAATGGACCCCAACAAGGTTGTCACCGGTGTTTCCCTGATTTCCACCATAGGGTACAAACCTCAACTTAGTGTGTGTATGCACGTGCGACTTACCAATCAAGTTCACTCTGCCAGGAGCACAAACCACAAATTGGCATTTGAGGCCACGAGCATTCAGCTGCTCAGCCAATTGTTCACCACACTCATTAAGAGGATAAACAGGGAGTTGGTCATCTTCATTCGCCGACATAATAAAGGCTGAAAATTAGAGTGAAATGAAGGTTAGATGCATCTCAATAAGGGAATACTGGCAGTTGATCAAATCTATGTTTGACTGGCCCTTGTAGTTTTTTGAGAGTTCCAAACGATCCAAAGGAAGCGTAATGGACATGATCAGGTTTCATACAGAACAACCGACCTGTTCGCAACATTTCTCTAATGCAGCATGCATGAAGTTGGAGAGATTTAGGCCATCATATTCAATATAGTTAAGGCATCTTTCGAGATTATGGACCGGGGATTTGTTTTCGCTGTAGAGTGTTAAGTCTCCACTATCCGAACCGGATGAAAAACTCTGAGAACGAAAAAATCCATTGATAGCTCTGTTAGGGTCTAAAAGCAAACTGATGCCATGCTGGGTACATGTGCCAATATGCTTGGTGAAATAAGTGCATGAATAAACTTCGAAAGAACTCGTCAGAATACTGGACGAAAATGGGAAGTGAGATATGCTGTGAAATGCAGATCTGACAAAAGAGAATGGCAAAAAATGAAAGTAATCAAGAATGGTTACTGGAACCAATGTGAACAATGGAAACAGGGATTTGTGTGTCGGCAAGGCGATTGGGACAAAATTATCCATCAATAGCTGGTTGCAAAGGGCAGCGACAGTTGCGCATTCATCAGGTCAATAGCCGTACAAATCACATAGTTTGTGCGCCACCATGAGGTAGTTTCAAGTGAAGTCACCCCGGATGCAGCCTTTAAGCCGGGGGATTTGGTTGATGAGACCGAGGTTACGACTGAGCTTAAAATTCGTCTATTGCCATCAATTCTGCCTCGGGATGTCCTCACGCCTTCTCAGAAAAATCAGACGAAAATTGAAAGTAAATTCTTCAGCCTACTGAAGGGGGGCTTCGATGGAATCGATAAATCACTACTTTGGATGATCTTGACATGCACTTGTTTCTTATCTGAGCCCCTTCGAAACAGCAGATTACCTTTCGTATGAAAACTGGCTGGCTGCCGAAACATGATGCTAGTTCCACCGACTATCACGTCAAACATATCCGGTAGGCATTTCATTGGACATAATGTCGCGAAAGAGCAATTCCCAATGCAACTATTAAGCACCACTGCCTTCTCAGCTGTAGCTGAATAAGTAAAGAGAAGAGAAGAAAAGCAAGTGATTGCGCACGGAGTAATATCTATCTTTCACCTTTTATCATTGGGCAGGTTGATACCAGTGTTTGCAAGAGACGCTAGGCCAGTATACTCCTTAAGTTCATCGACCCGACTAAGCCCGATGGACTGTCTGAGACCACCAGAGTTTGCTTGGTGCCTACGAGATAACAATACAGTCTATTATAGCTGCATCGAATGAAGTCCAAGCCGGTCAAGTAACTGGACAATAAGTTGGACAATAAAGAATATTTAAAACGTTACCTTACGTCGCCTTGCGCGATAACATCTTGGGGAGAGATGGCTCAGTGGTTGGAGCGCAAATTCTGTGACCAGATGGTCCGTGGTTCGAACCCGGCTTCTGCCTCCCGACTTCTCCTGTCTAGGCTTGGGTAACCTGGCAGTATCCCAGCCCTTGTGCTTTCTTCTGGTGGCATGGCAGCTGGGCATTGAAAGGGTGTCACAGCTGAACGATTATATTATTACTTATTATTTATCATGCATATTTATGAATTTTATAAGTAATGCAGATGAGTGCCAATTTGTAATAATGATATACCGCTTGTAATGATGATTATGACCGACAACAAGGGTGCTCTGAAGGACTAGAGGAACTTAGTGTTGAGAGAGTACGTTACATTGTAATCCTCGTTAGATCTTAGACGGACGATCCATATGGAATGGGGAACTTATAAAGAACAAATTCAAACTAACTGTGGGCAGTCTCAATGAATGGTTGCAATGCAACCAGTAAAGCTGTTAATTAACATACCAGTGGAGCCAATCTACGCCAATCAACCTTATTGGGAAGCATCAACACTGCGCTTCTCACGAAACTCCGGAGAGTGTCGAACCCGCGACCTACCGTCTAGTTGTTTGAACAATTAACCGTTCTGCCACGAGCGGCTGATCAGCACTGATTAACTCGATCGACCGGACAGGAGCAGGAATTGAGCTAATGGTATTCCTAGATAGCATCCCAGTCTAATGCAGGAAAAGAGTGATCCCTCGCACCCGATCTCAACTACGCTAAAATTGAACAATCAAAAGCCCCCGCACAAATCCGACAATATGGCGTTCATCTCGCCCTGACTGATAAGAATTTCAACTCAAATAGGTAAATTAATCCCTGCGATGCATGCAGCCCAGAACATGACATTAACTAACCATTAATTTAACGTTACCGTTAATAGAACAGCACCACGAGTGCTTGTTACATTCAAATAACCTTGTCCTTAACCTCAACGCACCGTTGACGCGCTCTTGGCTCTCAAAGAGCACCTCACATCACAGCGATCACAAAAAAACTAGACATTAGGGTACCCTGAACACACCCGTTATTGTTGATTGTCTTGCAGAGGTATCACAGCAACCCAGCTATCGTAAACACACGAGCGCGGAAGACGGTTCGGGTGCACCGCATCGGATGCCTCAAGGTCATACAACTTTATTCCGTTTAGCTGTTCAAAGCACGTGTCATGAACTTGTGGTAGTTTTGGTAAATAGTTTAAATAAACAGGACCAGTTGGACGGGGAAGGGGCTATATGTCGAGTAGATTGCGTAGATCGTTTCCGTCGGAAAAAGCGCTGTTCTCATTGAAGTTTCTCAGGGTTTGGCTTTGTATTCATTCGGTTCTACCGGCAAAAACTGATCGACCGGCATTCGTTGGCTTGCAAGCTGAAAAAACCGCCCTAAAATAGGTGCATTATCTTACCTCTAAGCAGAAAGAGGATATTGAACGAAATAGCTGCTCCCAAACTAATTTTTAATCTATGTAACAACCTCGGTTGACGATAGTGAGAAATCGAGTAGTGTTCTTACTGCTCCGATCGTTCCGAATCTATCCGATACAAGAACAGTTTAGCTTCCGAAATGTGTATGCCATACTAGGATAGGTAAGTAGGCAAATTCGGTGACGTAAAGAAATCGCGAAATGTCTGATTAATGTTTAATAAAAAGCTACCTCTGAAGAAAGACTTACCGCAGGTAGGAACGAATGTTTGAATCAAACCGTGTGCTGTCGAATTGCTTGAATCTGAACGGCTTGAGAAAAAAGACGGTTGTTTTGGCTATACCATAAAAAATCTAGGATGGCCGGTGACCGACGTGTAGACACTTGATGGAGTTTAAACCAGTTTGATTTAAAAATGCTTCGCAACACTATTTACCACTGTAGAAACTTCAAGAAAGTACAAGGACTATTAACTAGGTGTAGAAGTAGGATTTACAGGAAGTTATAAATGGGAACACTACGCGCAGTGCAGATACAAAGTCAGATGCTCGGGGCGGAACACAAATCCTCAATCTCTCGCACGTCAGATGACTGTTCTACAGGTCGAACAACCGGGGATACATGTACACCTAACACCGATTCACCATTGCTTCCAGAAACATCGGCAAGTCCCTTGCGTAACATTCACAACGTGCCGAAAGTAATGTCGTCCAGATATACAGGAAACATCGTGTACGTACTTGGGTTTCTATTCCAGATTATCAACTCCCTGTTCGTCATCAGCATCCAGTTCGTTGAGGAGGACCACACGAGATCGATCAACATTGACGCTGGCAAAAAACAGATGTTGATCTACTAAAAAGTGGCGTAGATTCTGAGAGCACATTCGCTAGTTGAGCCATTGGTTGCGGTGGCTCAATTCTTACAACACTCGCCTGGAAGGCGACAACTCACGGGCTCGAGTTCCTGTCTAGACTTCTCTTCATTTGCGTCCTTGTTTCTATCCAAATCAATCCTGTTTTATTCAAGGCCCCAACAACGGGGAGTGGTGAGGCAAACTGCGAACAGCTTGTCAATATGGGAATGAACGTGCCTTTAGCACTTTTGTACAGACCATAAATTCGAGGAAAAATGGAGGATCTCATCACATTCACCAAACTGCAGAGTACCTTATGTAATCGATATAATTTTTATACTGGATCGGTGAGAGTGTGAAGTATGTAGCTATATTTACAAGGATGTCATACTCGTAGTCAGTTGGCTAAGGTAAACACAGGGCCTCGACATCCACTTTCAGGGAACAGTGAGATTCAGAAAGCGCGGAAAACGATCGCGGCATGACCTTACGGCTTGCGCTACCTATCTAGACGTCCACAGTGAGATGACCTTAGGTTCGATTGGCTAGTTCGACAGGCTCGGTGTACGAGCCTCATTCTCACTGGTGACGCCGACCAAACTATGAGCGAGATTTTTACTCATAGTTGCCATATTATGGTAGATTATGGACCATAATTAGTTGAGTCATTCGGCTTGTCAAAATTTACAATTTATAGATATTTTGTCACGTGGAACTATTCGGTGGTCGAAAAATGTATGACATAGTAAACAACGAGTCAAATCCAATACCCAACAGAAGGCTGTAAACATAAGCAGATTCCATCAAATATCATATATAAAAGGAGAGCATCAAATAATCGGTGATTTTAGCGGGGTGAAACAAGTGTGGACTAAGCAGTTCTTACGAAAACAGATGACAGACTTGGCATCAATACGTCTTCAACCACGAGGTTGCCCGTCAAACACATCCTAGGTGGGAATCGACTTTTCAGCCCGTTCAGCCGGCAGTTCAGTGCACCAACCTTCTGTTGGCGCGCAAAAACTGACTGCCTAACAGTAAATGTAGCGACTGCTCTGAGGTGCGAGCGAAAATAAGCAGGCAAAACGTGATCCCGTCTGTATTGACAGTGAATTCGAAAAACTATACCGTGTCAACCCAGGCGAATTTGATGGCAACAGAAATGGCTACGCAATTACGTCACGGTAATTTTGTCGGTTTTTGTAAGACTTCAGTTGAGCTTGGTCTTCAAATGATAGCTGAAAAATGACGAGTTTGAATCATCTTGGAGATGCTGGAGATGAGTACTAGTGACGATTCCCAATCATGGATGAAACAGCTGAACAATGCTTATCGGCTTTTCCGCAAGGACTAGCTTCACTTAGAGGACGAAACCTCAGTTGAAAATATCATAAAGGACCGGTACCGCGGCTTATATAAACTGTGAAATGACTTACACGGTTAAAATCTCGTGGTCCTTCGTGGAAGGAAATTGTCCAGTTACTGAAGGTGTTTTTCACCACATTAATTTATACCGCGTCGGTTTGTTGGTCGTATTATGGCAAGACCTTCACAACGTGACCGAAAGCACCGTTGGCGCTGCGTCACTGCTTGGCCACATGCGCTGATAAAACACATCGGAGTGACCGTGTACGCAGACTCTGCTCTACTGGGCTTTAGAAAATGGTGCGCTGTATGAACTTTTCATGCAGCTTCTACGACATGGAACAAATCAATGGCGCTAGATGGAAAAATGGGAAAAAAGGTTTCCGGAAAGGGAAGCCTCGAATGGATGTCTTGATTAAAGCGCGTATTGTACCTGCTTTGTTACACTTCTTGCACGCAAAGTTAATTTGCATAGCAGCCGGCAAAAACCGGACCGTCGTTCAGTAAGCGGTTCAACAAGTTCAATGAAACTGATGCTACCACTTTCGCAAGGCTATAGTATAGTTTAACCATATTCTGAGCCCAAATGGTTGAAATCAAGACGGACAAGGTCACGAAGCCTTTCACTCGAGTGCGTTCAGGTCGTCGCGCGCACGCTTATCTGGACTTGAAAGATTGTTGAGTGAACATCGTGGCCCATTTATAGTGACTTTTACCCCGACCGAAACATACTCGCTAATTCAGTCCTGTCTTCTGGTTGTCCCAGCCTGCGATGATCATCACAGCAGATAGTGTTTTACGCTTGAAACATATTTCGGGATGATGGTGGTGAGCGGACTGACTTACTGTGCTGATCGAGTGGACGGACGATGCACTAGGGGAAGGTGCGCGAACGGATGGCTTACCGCGCACGACGAACGTTGGGCGAAAATAACCGGGCTGTGTGAGATATCTATCGTGTGTCAATCGTCTACTGTATCAGCAACATTATAGTAAACAGAAGCCATGGAATATGGTGTGCGGAAGGCCAAGTCGCAAAGTGGAAACGACTTCACTAGCAAACGGCAATTAGCATCTCGTAAGTGATGCATTGACCATACAATGGTCACACGTGGTTCAAGGAATTCCAGTATCGAGGATTAGAGACTACTCTGTCCTACAACCTATGCGTACCTCCTACTGGACATCCCAGTTTCCTTAGCGAGTGAAATGAACTTGCACCGGTACTATGGAACCGTTGTATAGAATTTTTAAGCACTTGGCGGCAGTGGAAGGAAATAGTGACGAAGAAAACTGGGTATTTCGTTGGAAATTCGGAAACGGAATGCTACGATAAGTTGCTTCATCACCCTCTCCACTTTCTGATAATGACAACCTAAAACACATTCCTAAGGGATGAAACATTACTTTCCTACATGGCGGTAACGCCTTAATTGCCCTTAGCAGTCGCCTTCGTGCCGGTACTGAGGCCGTCGGCATGCTTAATGCATGTATTTATGCCTCCTGAACAAGAGTGCGAACACAGACCCAAAAAGTGTGCAGTCCAACTAGCCCCCCAACTGTTGAATCTTTCCAAGGTATTTTCAAGTAATATATCGAGAACATTGGTATCTGTTCTATTTGGTGACTAGCTCGTACGAACTTCAATACAACCATACAACAAAATCGGCTTGGACAACGACTGAGTCAAGTGGTTCGTTCGATCAGCTGTAGCACCCTTTCGGTGCCTAACTGTCATGCCACCTGAGGGTTGCACGAGGGCTAGTATACTGCCAGGTTGCCCAAGCCTAGACAGGCNCTTTCCAAGGTATTTTCAAGTAATATATCGAGAACATTGGTATCTGTTCTATTTGGTGACTAGCTCGTACGAACTTCAATACAACCATACAACAAAATCCGCTTGGACAACGACTGAGTAACGTGGTTCGTTCGATCAGCTGTAGCACCCTTTCGGTGCCTAACTGCCATGCCACCTGAGGGTTGCACGAGGGCTAGTATACTGCCAGGTTGCCCAAGCCTAGACAGGAGAAGTCGAGAGGCAGACGTCGGATAGGCACATGCTGAGCACGCGGCGGATCTTATTGCAGGCTTCCATCACAGAATACAGCTTCATCGTCAAAGGTATGCGAACCCGGCAGCGTACCGGAATTTGGAATGCTAAGAACTTTAAACAGCACGCTACTAAGACCTTGAAAGTGATGCGAACGCCATAGGGAGCTGGATCAATGGATTCCAATGAGGCTGTTCGTAAGAAAAATTAACCTGATGACGTCTAAAGATGGGGCCCGGTGTTGTAACAACATTAAGGAAGGCACACAAAAGGTAACCTGTTAGTAGTAGGCACACATCAGACCACAAGAACTTTCCATTTCAATGGCTGGGGTTGACAAATGAGGAACAAGTGGGTTCTTTGGAAATTAGAACGACCGTGTCATTATAAAACATCTATTTAGCAAGAGAAAGTAAAGCAGTAAGTTAGAAAAGCAGCTGTCAAAAGCATAGGAAAATAGTTCAGATGGCCTTGTGTGTGTCGGTGGAAACTCAGTGGAGAAGAGTCGGGATGAAAATGAATTCAATGTAAGCGATTCTCTTGATATCATAGGTGGGCAAAAGCAACACGTAGTGGACTGATTGTAGCCCGTTGAGAACGACCTCGGACCATCCAATTTTTACCCCAAGATCCGAAAGGGATGACCAACGCGCTAGCATTATCATCCGACCCGAACAGTAGGGCATTCTCTACGACACACTCGGCGGCGTCCCGTGGAGTTCGGCATGAAGCTATAGTGCTTTGGATCTCTTCGTCTGACATGACATAGGTGACACCATCACTGACGAGAGCGAGGAATGATGCGCTACCGTGTCGGACCTGGAGAGGAAAGATGAAAACAGCCAGAAAAAACGCGTTTATCAGTCAGGTGCCCCAAGCATATTCCTCCCAAATGAGCTGTAACAGTGAGGCTAACAGGCGAACTTATGGCAAACGGACTTCCGGTATGGGCACCACAGTATCAAACATCAGAATTCAAAATTGATCGACACTGACACAACTGAAGTTTTTCCTTCGTTGGGAGGAACGCTACTTCGAATCTAGCTACATTGATCTCTGTTGACAGTGGGAGATCCCTGAAGCTATAGTGCTTTGGATCTCTTCGTCTGACATGACATAGGTGACACCATCACTGACGAGAGCGAGGAATGATGCGCTACCGTGTCGGACCTGGAGAGGAAAGATGAAAACAGCCAGAAAAAACGCGTTTATCAGTCAGGTGCCCCAAGCATATTCCTCCCAAATGAGCTGTAACAGTGAGGCTAACAGGCGAACTTATGGCAAACGGACTTCCGGTATGGGCACCACAGTATCAAACATCAGAATTCAAAATTGATCGACACTGACACAACTGAAGTTTTTCCTTCGTTGGGAGGAACGCTACTTCGAATCTAGCTACATTGATCTCTGTTGACAGTGAGAGATCCCGACAATTCAATAGAGATTTCGTCTCGTAAAATAAGTCAATCTATGCCGAAGAGTCTAGAGGCATTGTATAGCTGTATAGTACCACACAAGATGAAATAATTGCACAGTGTTTTCCTGATCTGCCGCCTGAAATAGCTTCAATTACATGAAGAAGTCCCAAATGAAACCCAGTAATCTTCGCTTACTGTTTCCTATACATTCCAAACTGATATTCACCTCAGACATGACATTGATACTGGAAGCGCTTTCCCTAGACAGCAGACGAAAAAACCGCTGAACCACGATAAACAGCCAGAAAAAACGCGTTTATCAGTCAGGTGCCCCAAGCATATTCCTCCCAAATGAGCTGTAACAGTGAGGCTAACAGGCGAACTTATGGCAAACGGACTTCCGGTATGGGCACCACAGTATCAAACATCAGAATTCAAAATTGATCGACACTGACACAACTGAAGTTTTTCCTTCGTTGGGAGGAACGCTACTTCGAATCTAGCTACATTGATCTCTGTTGACAGTGGGAGATCCCGACAATTCAATAGAGATTTCGTCTCGTAAAATAAGTCAATCTATGCCGAAGAGTCTAGAGGCATTGTATAGCTGTATAGTACCACACAAGATGAAATAATTGCACAGTGTTTTCCTGATCTGCCGCCTGAAATAGCTTCAATTACATGAAGAAGTCCCAAATGAAACCCAGTAATCTTCGCTAACTGTTTCCTATACATTCCAAACTGATATTCACCTCAGACATGACATTGATACTGGAAGCGCTTTCCCTAGACAGCAGACGAAAAAACCGCTAGAACCAAGATGCTTCTTTGTGGATCATTCTTGACCCTGAATCTGGTTAGGCTTATGTTCTGTACAATCAATCGCAGAGGTCGAGGAGTAGTCCCGCCAACTTATGGATGGAAAATGGCAGGTCGAGTTTTCCCCCATTGAAGTTGGAGCGGACAAATTTAACACATCGTGTTCCCACAAATAGATAGCCTTATTTTCTGTTTTTTCTTCAAAATCGCTAAAGAGGAGAAGAGGGGGGCTGAAACTTGTCGAGTTTGTTTCTAACAAAGTCTTGATTATGCATAATTTTCCACACACCGAAACGGGATAGCTGACTGGAGACGGTGCATCTTTACGCATAAGAGCAACCAATCTCGTTGGAAGCTGATACTTCCAACTCCATCGCGGAATGGAAAAATAGATACGAATCAGCTGCAGTTCATCTTGACTGACATATTCACACAAAAACATGAAAAGTTGCTTAAAGACAACAAAAAGAGTAGTAGTCAAGTTGTGGCACCCTTTCGGTGCACAGCCGCCTCACGACTCGGTGGCACGAGGGCTGAGACGCTATGAGGTTAAACAGGACTGATCAAAAATCCTGTCTGTGTTCGATTCACGAACCTTTTGGTTACTGGCTTTGCACCCTAACCGCTGGGCCATCTCGGGCTCGAAAAAGCTTTTTGATATGACAAATATCCCATGAAAACGTGCACATAAATTCTATGAAGTCGGAATTTAAGCTCAGTAAGTTCCTCGGTTTTCAGTCAGCCAGATGAATTTGGATTTATTTATTGTCAAACAAACGTGCTTGATACAACTGTCACCTCGGATCATCTAAACTCAAGTGATATGATCCAAAGAGCGCGTTCCGAATAAGCTATTCCTTCTCACCAGTCGGCGCACCACTAAGTGATGGAGAAACGCAAACAGAAACTTTCAGCCGGCATCTAATACCGACTGAGGGTGCTGCCAGGCAGAATCCGATTAATTGGGTTTCCGTCTACCGCTTTTGTATCCTAGTCACCCGAACTGACGAACTTTTGTGTCACAAGGAAAACGCTGCTCCCGACAGGTTTCAGGCTTTTCTGTAACAGGGAAGTTTTCTCTCAACATACTCATTTGCAAACCAACTTGGTGTTAACGGGCGAATAAACTAAATCCCAGCTGGATCGCTCGTCTATGGCACTCTTCCACCGAGTGTGCTGCACAAAGGTGGCCTCAGTCAGCACGATATTCCAGATGTCGGCAGTGGGAATGCGAACTGTTTCTAGCAATCTTGTGAATAGTGCGTTCAGGTAAACTTTTTTTTGCGAAGACAGTCAGAGATTTTCCGAAAACAGTGGAATTTGGAAGGAGGAAGAGAGTGCAATCCGATGGGGTACTACCATTGGTCAATAAAGTGGGATAAGACAGTCGATTGACCGTGGCTTAATGCTTATATGCACAACGCAGACAGAATTGCCCTCAATTCGCGCAGGTAACCGGTGCGCTTTGCAGCATTAGCACAGTCTGTCATCATACATTAATCCAATCCTGGTTTACTACCTTGATCAGAGAACTACCGCTTTTGCCCATATAGTAGATAGATAACCGAAAGAATGGGCAAAAGATGAGTTCTTGTAGGGTGAAACGCACCACAAAAGTTGGGAATGCACATCCATCACCTTGGCCATGTTAGTTTTATGCATTCTTTCGAGGAGTGACTTGCGAGAATTGATTGGTACTCAATGCGGGTCCACAGGGAGGTTGGAGCCAGGTTGGAGCCACTCCTAAGGTGAATACGGCCAACCGGATTCAACTACGTATACCGCAAGTGAAACGCGTTGAGAAGTCACCCAAAACTACGGTTTCTAGTTGAATACAGACAAGCCTGAGACACAGTGTAGAACCAAATGTTACACGAAGTGCGCCAACCAGCCGTGCTGAGTAGCTACTATTGGTACATAAGCACCACAACTAAAAGTGAAAGCGCTGGAAAAAAGATCAAAACCCTAACTAACCATTTGCGGATTTATTATGAACAAAATGCCACATGCAGGACAAATTTTTTCATATCCGACAGGTTGGACCACGAAATGGGATTGGAAAAACCGTTGCCGAGTTTGAGTTTATTGTCTTTTATGGCGTACAATAGTAAATTGGCTTCTGATTGCTGTCACCCAAAAGCGAAAAAGCCCTCCCAACCAGCCGAGTTAGGCGTCGATGCGACCCAGTGGTTAGGTGAAATAATCGTAATAATAATCGTAATGCACTACTCATAAGGTTGCTGAAAATTCTTCGATAGCCCACGACTGGTTTCGTCCTTCTTGGGGCTCATCAGGTAGGTGCAGTCCCCGAGTTTCCGTCAACTGTATGTTCTAGTTGAACACAAATTGGACTGTTTTCAAGAAATACACTCATTTGCAGACAAATTTGGTTTTGCGAGACACCCACCTGGAACCCAGCTGAACCCCTCGTTTATGAAGTTTTCAAGCAACTAAATGTATTGCACCAGGTCACCTCATGGCTGTCGAAAAATGTTCAGCAACTTCTGGCTAGTGTATTACGTCTATACGTGTATCGCGATATCCCAAATATCGTACCAACTGAAACGTGAGGCGGCCTGGTGCAGCATGGTGTGCCTGGAAGCATCACAAACGAGAGATGCAGCTGGGTTCCATGTGAGTCTCTCGTAAAACCAAATCTGCTTGCAATTAGTTCGCTAATAACAATAATCGTTTAGGCTGTCAGCTGTCAGTTACCATGCCACCCGAATGATGCAAGAGGGGGCTGAGATACTGCTAGGATACCAAGCCATAGACCTTCCAGTCAGTAAGTTCATGACTTGACTACCAAGCTATCCCGAGCTCAATGGTTGAGATTAAAACAAATCACAGGCGGTTTAAAATATCACCTCACCTTCATACTTGTCAACTGAGGTTTGGCAGTCACACCAAACGGTTTGAGTTGAGAATCACCGAGGCTACGAGTCATGCCCAGACGACCGTTGACAACGGGTACCCCCAAACTGTTGGTGATCACCTGACCCCCACACTTTTTTATCCGGGCTACCTCCGTCATGCCACGACCATCATCATCCTTACAGATGTCGTTTAACAGAACGGTACTATTTGGATCGTGGTTGGTTGTGAGCGCCGTTATGGAGCCGTGACGACTGAACAGCGCACGGCTGTCGCCAACGTGACCAACGACAACTTGGTGACTATTCAAGAGCAGAACCACCGTCGCTGTTGTGCCAGCCCACAGCCGTTCTCGAGCTAAATGCGAAAAAATCAGGCGGAATAAAATCACCCCAAGAAAGATCTGTTATTGGTTGTCCGATACACTCCATGTGGAGCGATGTGGACTGACCAGAATGATCGCACATGGATGCGAGAAAGATTATGCAAATGACTAGGCAAGATACCCAACCACTTGAAAGCAGTGAAAAACAGTCCGGCGGGTCTGAAGGAACTCGTGCCTGGAAAGTGGGCCATCCGTCAACAACAGGAAAGTTACTGGTTCTCCGTCAGGAAGAGAGGTAAGAACCACGTAGATTGTTCAGGTGTGAGTACTTTCATCTGTTCAGATGCGTCCAGCATTTGCTGGAGGAAAAGTGGTGGTATGTGTCAGACGGTCGAACTTCGAATCCCGGTACGACCCGAGCTATATTAATGGACTACAATAAGATTGAAAGTCCATTCCGGTGCTTCTTATTCCAACGTAGACTAACCGGAATAATGGCACCGTGACATTCGGAGTGTTTGAAAAAGAGTGGTTTGAATGAATAGTGTGCATATATATGAGTCTGAACGACAAGTAAGCTAAACCGCGAGTTTGCTAAGTACCGCCTATCAGAAAGATTACTGGAAATCAAACTTTTTTTCACTGCAATTTATCAAAATCTCCGACCCGTATTAAAAGGACAAACCATCAGTACAACCGGTGATTATCACTCACTTATTACGTAATCGAAACACAGGCCAACATGAGACGGCACACAACACACCATGACTAATTTGAAATTTACCGTTAAGAGAAGGTTCTACGAGAATATGTGATGATGAATGTCTGGTCGAGAGTACGTGAGTGGCCGAATGTAAACCCATCAAGATTGGTGCCCGCTCAGCCGCATCTTTACAGTCAACGTATTTCCAGTGATAGGATGAGTGCTAGCTGACGTTAAAAACAAAAGCCGTAATTGTTTATAAGCAGTTCGCCGCAATTCGTTTATTGCAAGCCAACTCAGCAGCAAAGCAGACGGATAGTGGATATTTCAGGGGCTCCTTAATTCCATCCTATGTATTTTAACCTGAATGGATAATCGTACCGGCGTAACTTTTTTCATGCGTATAGGAGAAAGACGCAAAAATGACTAGTGTCTCAAAAAATGCGATCCTGTGCAATCAAGTTAGCCGGGGATGTAGTGCTATCTGCTATGGTCTAATTCAATGGACAACAGGAATGTCAGAGGCTCAGTAGAGTTGAGGCTCATCACTTCAAAACATTGAACTGATGGAGTATTGGTCGTAGGTCATTTTTGTCTCTGTTGTCTATTGCCCGCATAGTTATTGATAGTAGCTATGTAGTCGGAATGTGTTGGCGAAAACACATTTTACTCCGTTTCGGGCTTACCTTCTCCTCTACTCACTCACCCCAGGGTTGCATAATCGAGTTCACGGGTTCTAGCTAAGAAATCTGAAACAATCGAATTCACACTCATGTCACTTACCCACTTAGAACGGCGAAGAATTCTGCACGTCACGATCAGAGTTCGATGAGAAGTATCATATCTGCTACTAGCGGCCTATGTGAGTTTACGTTGGTTTGATTATCATCACCACAAGCCATGAAACTGGGTGGAAATATGAAACGAGATGCACGACTCCATGTTCCGTGAAACTAGCCAAAAAATGTTACAAGTTTCACATTGACTAGCATCGCTAAAGATATGTAGAATTGTTACGATCCGGTTAAGTTACATCAGTAGATCACTAATACAGCAAGAGAAAAACAATTCGATTCTAATACCGATTCTGAGCAGTTTTCGTAATAACCAGGATACATTTGTCGGGTGAGAAAAACATGGACGGGCAATGGCTGAAGTGGGTATGCAGCCTGCAACAGGCTGAGAGCCAATCTCCAAATTTTTCAAGACCGGCTACTGACACATAATTAGTAGTTAAAACGCAAGTGGTGTCGAAGCAGGCCGTGGTGGCATCGACTGGGCGTAGTGCTCAGGTAATCGTTCAGACGTACCAAGACTCTGGTCGATTTCTTTTGAGTGTTGAAATTCAGTCAGTGGAACACAGTATGTCAAAAGACAACAAACCTTAAAAACTAAACAGCACTTCAGGGGTATTCATAAAATGTCTTTGCTAAGAGACCACTACTGACACAAACAATACGAAAGAAAGCTTCACTGTTTGATATCATACCTATGTCCTGTTGGGAATAATTAGACAATTTACCAAGAGTGAGTATGTTCAATAACTCTGAGGCCATCTGGACTCAAGCGTCCAACTCTACATAGCCCTGGTTTGAAGATAACCTGCACAGTATAGATGTTCTATCCTTCCCAGAAATACCATCGCACGAGCTCACAACACCACCTGATTATCTCATTCAACATGGCTGACAACCAGTGCTCAGTAAAAACCAAAGACCTGGAAATTAATGTGAAAAAAGTACAAATGGGTAGGGGTAAACCATCAATGCAGCTAGCGCATGCCGCAATCTTCAAAAATTAGAACAAGCAAAAAAATATTGAAGATAGGTGAATTATCCATATCGGAGACAAACACACCTGTAGCATAGTGGTAAAAATGACGCATCATCAGGTTGTTCACCTGCAGGAATGCATGCTCCATCACTGGTTCGAAAAGAGCTAGGTCAGTGGTACGCAGTGACTGTCCACGTTTACGCACTGTGTTCTGGAGCGCGGCCAGGCCATATCGGATGCACTCGGGAAGTACGGATCGGGCGAATTCAGCTGCAGCAGAGCCACCATGCCCGTCGAAAACACCAAACAGTAAGTGATTGGGTGAGAGTTGACAAGCCAACAGCCTATCCTCATTTTTCTCCCGACGTCCCAATACGGACGCAGCTCCGATATGTTTTAAGTCTATCCGCGGAATTAGCTTTCCCTGTGTGCGAGTGAGGGTAGCAAAAGAGAACAATAAACATGTGTATTTGTAATGTACTACTCATAAGGTTGCTGAAAATCCATCGACAGCCCACGACCGGTTTCGCCCTTCTTAGAGCTCATCAGGTAGGCGAACAATAAACAGTTGCCGAAGGTCATGTATTTCACCCGACTAGGCTAGCCGAGTCCACAGGAATCCGAACACACTTTGGTTCGTTTATATGAGGGATAGAGTGACAAAAAGCGGGTTATCCGACATCGCTATGAACTTAAAGCGCAGTGAAGACAGAATACAAGAGATATCGCAAAAGTCTAGCTTAGGTCTAACTCGAGGCTGGTGAGATCACCAAAACTGGGACAAACTTAGGAGGACTATCCTGGAAACCTCAAATTCCAATAATACTGACATACGTAGATTAGGCTATGTTCGGTAGAACGTACGCCCAATGACCAGTCGAAATCCGGCTGACAATGTCCACAATCGTTCGCGTTTGAATTTTAGTGGATAACTAGGAGTATCAGGTGGTACAAACCTAACAAGTGTCCATTTGAGAGATTTTTTATATTCGTGGACGATGTCCATTGTCCCATTCAGCGGTGTGCCTTAAACTCTTACGGGGAAATTCAACATTGAGACAGTGATGAATCCCTTGTTGGGGGTCCTACTATCATAGTACGTTCATCTTGAAATTTCCGCCCCCATTTGCATCTGCAGATTTTATGAGTAAAGCTTTTCACTACTCTTCTGTGTCAGAACAGGTTGCAACCGAGCTTCATGACGAGGATGACGTGAGATTGGCCATAACTACCCTGTCAAAATGCATAAAGTCGTGCCATGCAGTTTCCGAAGTATAGTTCACAGTGAAATGATCACGAACTCCAATAATTACCGTGTGAGCCACTGTGCTGACTCCAGTCCAACTCTGACATTCCGACTGTTCTGGTCTGGGTTCTGGCAACCTAGTGGTGACTAAGCCCCGGAACTTCTCCCAAGTTATAAGGCAGCTAAGCACTGAAGGAGCGCCACAGCAAAGAAGACTTCACTTTTGGTGCATGTGCCGTCATTTCAGATTCGCGTGCTCGGCCAAAACTCAATAAAAATGCAAGCGCGGCCCACACGAAATTGTATACATAACAAACTGTACTGGTTTTTAAAAACGGATGACCGATAACAAAGCATGAACGAGCGGCAGTTGGTCAGGTAATTTGTGTAACATTGAAACATTGCCACTGTGTTTGTACAGATCAACTTGGTTGAGCTGTCGACCGAGTCCGGAAAACTTAGAGTAAACACATGCTACATCCTAATGAAGCGGATTAGTTAGTTCAGAAAGATACGAATCGTCACCTGACACTGCAAATAAGGGTGTGGTAACAAACCGACAATTGTTTGGCGAAACTATGAACAATGAAGTAAACAAGGATATGCGTCGACAATAACACATGTGACTTCGTTTGGCAAGAGGCTAAGATCAGTCACATTCGAGCACCCAGAATAGTCAACGGAGGTAAATAGGTATTGACGTAACCCGAATGAATATCGATTAAAAGCATATAAGGAAATAAAGACAAAGCAGGCTGGATGTACCTTGAGTCATTCTCTTTAGAAACCAGTCAGATTCCACCACTGTAGCAGCATACATAATTTGTCATGAAAGAAGCCACCAGTAGACGTGGTGTGCTTTTAAACGGTTCGCTGTACACCCCAACCCGAATACACAGGAAGTGTTTAGGGACTTTAACGGTATCCCTTGCGGGCCACAAATATTTAAGGGAGATATCTACGCACTTTAAACGGTTCGCTGTACACCCCAACCCGAATACACAGGAAGTGTTTAGGGACTTTAACGGTATCCCTTGCGGGCCACAAATATTTAAGGGAGATAATCTACGCACCCAGTCGAACTCTGCTTTAAGGTAAGGAAGTGATTGTTGGTTGGCGGTACGTGCGGCGCTGCTCAAGCACTTGACGTCATGTAAGGATGTGATCAGTGCACCATTTGCCGGGTCTAAATCCTGCCTGATACTCTCGAACTTGTGTCTCACCTGCCGAGTACCGGAAGCGGAATATAAGGAAATCCAGCAGCCATGTCTCGATAAGCAGGAGAATTTTATCCCTATAGTTGGGACAGTCAGTTCGAACACGGTACGACCAACGAATGGCTCCAATTTTCTGGAGTATGTTCTTGCTTCTAAATACGCACAAACAACCAAGTCAAGATGGAGCAAGATTATCCTATATCTTTGAATAACGCCGGAAGAGGCTCATATGGTCCAACAACACGAAGGCACACCAAGGCGAAAGGCATATTAATGATTCAGAAACTGGTCAGAAATTCACAGACCATGGCTAAGAAGTAGAGTCTAATGAAAGATACAGGCACGGTGACAGACGGCCAACTACAGTGATTAAAATATTAGTCCAACGATTTAGAAGTTGATCGCTATCATACATTAGGCTTCCAACTCACTTATGGAACACCTTTTAGGTCCTTGCATACCAATTCGGTTTTTACCGGGGACTCAACCGAATCCCAGTTGAATCTCTAGTTTTTTAGTGTTCTTTGACTGAATGTGCTACAACAGGCCACCTTATCTTTCAGCTGCTACCATATTCGAAATATCTCAATAAATTGCATAGGAACAACATACTACTGACAAGATTACTGAAGACGCCTCAGTAGCCCACGACCGGTTTCGCCCTGCTCGGGACTTACCACCAGGTAGGCGGGATCCCCGAGCAAAACCGGCCGTGGGCTTTCGAAGAGCTTTCAGCAACCTTATGAGAAGTGTGGCAAGTCTTTTAGGTCCTGTTCTGTGGGCTCAGCATCATCGTCATCAACGACAGCATGACATCAGTGTTCAACACCGATGCTTCACTGTGGGCTAGCTGGAACAGATTCCGTGAATTCAAAGCGGCACCAGCCTCTTTGACTTCTTGAACCTTCTGGCTCCACCACACCTCTCTGTCCACACACAGACTAAGTATGAGATGTCGTCTAATCGACTGACTAGCCGCTTATACTCCAACTACGAGATAGAGCTCCATGCATGGAGAGGTGATAATGACCGTTCTGATATCCAGTGGCTATCGGGTACGAGCTCGGGAACACAAGTAAAATTCCTGGCATTGCGTGCAACCGTATTTACGATTGACACGTCCTTGAAGGACACCGGTTGTAATACAATGCACAGTACACTTTGGTGTGCTTCCCTGAATTGCGGCCCAAGAAGCCTTCTGCTGGTAAATGGAGAGCCCGTTTCCGGAATTCATCTGAAAAGGCTAATGAAAGCTTGCACCCAATAAGGGCGAAAGCTTGATTATTCCAATATAAGATCGACAATCAGGGGCTGAACCACCTCATCGGTAACTGATGGCGATGTGGCTAGGTTGACACCAATGCTGCTCCGCAGTAGGGGGACGCCAGATGGCACAACGGCGCCCACTGAGCCTGTTTCTCAGTGCTGCTGAGAAACAAGTGGTCATCAGTACGGAGCTGCAAAAAACGTTCACCATTCTCATTGTATCTTGCGTCCATTTTAAACAAATCACCAAGACGTACTCCTGATAAACTGAGGCGTCCTACCAGTTCATTGAAAGCTCTTGCTATTATAACTTTATCTGAGCAATTCGTGTTGAATAAGAAGTCAAGTTGTCGATAGGTGACTTTCAATGAATTTGAGCTACGGCCCATTGGTGCATAGATGGGCACGATACACATAGAGCGTTCATTATTTCGACAAGTGAGAGTTCTTATCGAAGAAGAAAGTCGGAAAACACAGAGTCAGTTGTTTACAGGCATCCAATCGAGCAACGGAATTTGGGGCAAAACCAACCTCGGCGCAATCCACTGCAGGATTACTTTAAGTTCGCGATCTGTAACGCACACTTAGGAAAGGTACCGTAAGCTCAACAACTGGACTTGAATCCTGTGTTCGAGTGTCAGAGATGCAGCAAACGTCGATCGATAGAATGAACAGAGCATGCACAAAGGCAGCTTGTCAGATCTACCTAAGAGTTCTCACTCTAAAGGCTGCAGTAAAAACTGGAGAACAAGGTCTGAATAGTGGACGCGGAGCGGTAAGTTTCAGCAGTGGTGTACAATGCGTCAGTTCCGTAGGTGCCTAACTAACGTGTCAATGGCTGGGATCTACGTAAGAGTGATTGCCAGGTGGGACAGGTCAGGAGTTAGGAGGATGTGAGGCGTCAGAAATTGCGTGTTTTCGCATATCCACCCTGCTGTATGCAGCGAACAGGGCAATGCAACTGATGCTACCATGCGACGGCCGACGTCGTATGAAGGCACTTTTACTTGTGAAGTTCACGTTGTATGTTGGTTGAGATACTGTGAGGACGCCAAAACCTAGGTAGGAGAATGATTGGGGCTCCCAAACAAAGCTTTTGGCACAAAAGCGGTAGTCGGTGTGAGGCCATTCGAGTAGCCCCAAGTTGCGGAACAAATTGCCGTACTTGTTCCAACCATAAACCTGAAGGAGGAGGAAAACTTGTTTGTCAGACTTCTATTCAGTTGAAAACCTGGTAGAAGGGACTGTGAACACTGCTCCAGCACGTCGCAAGTATGGTGACGAAACGTTTGCAAGCCAATTGCCAAGCTCGGCGAACAGATCAACAGCTACCTGATCAACAACTAATTCACCCACCCGAGCTACCAATATTTCAACAAGTTACCAACCCTGGTGTTCAAACAGCTGCGCTGATAAAAACCTTGTCGACCTGAAATATACAGAAGACATCGATCCCATCTTCGGAGAAAAGAAGCCGGTGTTTTGGATGATTAAACAAGGTCAACCCGCGTCCTTGACATGCACTTTGGATCCACAAAGCGTAACTTCATGCTCCTGGACATGCAGTCATTTAAAACACCACTCAAAATCCAGAGAGAGGAGCGTTTTGCCTATCTTGGAAGTTGTCTTAGTTCCAACTCTAGTGCGACAGAGGAAGTTAATGCATGTATCTCTAAAACTCGGGCAGCGTTTGCT